TGCTCCTGCGCCTGTTCCTGTCCCTGCTCCGGTTCCTGTCCCTGCTCCGGTTCCTGCTCCTGCTCCTCCCGCAGATCCTGCGCCACCTCCACCAGCAGAACCGACACTTGTTGCCGTCAGTTCAGGCGCTGTTATACCATGTTTGTTAGCTTTATGTGTACGCAAGAAGTACTTGTTACAAATCCACTTGTTGCAGATGTCACAAAGCACACGCATCTGATTTGGCGACTTCCTCGGTGTCCCGCATGCCGGCCCCATCGGCCCAGTCACTAGGCCGGGTGAGATTCCCGTGAGAAGAGTCGGAGACAGACCGACAGAAGAGGCGCCAGATCCACCATGAACACCGGGACTGCATCCATTTGCGCCTGAGCATGTGCTGCCGTTTACGTCGCAAGCATGGCCACCGCCTAGCGGTCCAAACGAACTGGGCGACCACTTGTTCGAGGCGGCAACAGTCGCCGCGGCTACTGCGGCTAGAGTTGCTGGGGTCATGCGTTGTAAGCCAGTAAGATTGGACAGTCCTGGAATAACTGACAATCCTGAGATGCCTGAAAGACAGGCTGCTGTGGCAGCAGCTGCTGACAGACTCCCAGAGCCAAGTGAAATAGGCACCAGGCTATTACTTGGCCTACTTCCGTGTAGAAACAGTGTGTCTTGAGGGCTACCTGTTTCATCACTTGAGTTTATTTGCCGCTCACCCCTGATATCGCCACAACTCTCCTCTATTTCTGCCTCCTCATCTTCCATTTCATTGCCTCCCCAATATCCAGAGCCAGCTTGCTCTCCCTCTTCGAGCTCTTCGAGATGCTCTCCTAGTTCATGATGCACCGATTCTCTCCTTTCACTCCCAACTTGCCTGTGTCCATCTTCATCATCTTCCCTCATGAATTGAGCCCGTGTTCTATGCCCCTCATTTGGTCGAGTAAGGGAGAGGTGATGTGCACTTTGTCCAATTACGTAACCGGTCGTTTTGTCTCTGGCCGTGAAAAATTCTTTGACCATAATGGGTGAATTCGGAGGTAATAGATAGAATCCTTTAATAAGAAAGGAGAATATATTATTATTTAAAATGCTAATAATCATATTTTACTATTTACTCTTATAACTTCATGAGAAATGGGTGTTCAAAAGATTATTCCATTCATAATACCCTGAAAAATGTATCAAAACAAAAGATTTTCTTCTTTTGACGGTAAAGCAATAACTAGCATTAGCCTGATCTCAAAGAGTGAAAAATGCCTTCATATATATAATCTCATAATTACATGTCTCTTGC